ATTAATTAATAAATAAGAGGAAACATGACACATCCTACACAGGAACTTTGGGTTCCTGAACAAAAGTCAGGATAAAAATCTAACAACTCATCAATAATAAAATGGAAACGTTCCAGACAAGGGTCAGCTCAAGAAAAGGGGGCAGTTAAGGTAAACTTTATCAATTTCTGGAATTCAATCAACAAAATACCACATTCCTAAAGGCACTTCCTGGGCTTCCCTTATCTTGTTTAAACAATCAAGAGGAGGGGATGTCAAAACAAACCAACCTAAAGGGACTGATCAGCTTGCAAACAAACCACAGATTGTTTGCAGCACCCCTGAAGAATCCAAGGAAGAGGAACTGGAAAAAATTCTTTTTTTGATAAGCTCAAAGGAGAACAAACTGGAATGCAGATTATTTTGAGCTAACTGGTCAATGATCATTAGAATGGAATGGAATAGGGAATAGAAGAGAAGAGAAGAGAAATAGAAATAGAAGAGAGTAAGAAAGAAAAGAGAAGGAATAGAATAGAAAATAGAATAGAATAGAAAATAGAACAGAACAGAAATAGAACAGAAATAGAACAGAATCGAATAGGGAAGGGAAGGGAGGAGAGGAGTAGAGAATAACAGAGCTGGAACGGACCTTGGAGGTCTTCTAGTCCAGCCTCCTGCTCAGGCAGGAAACCCTATTCTATTCTAGACAAATGGTTGTCCAAGCTCTGCTTAAAAACTTCCAGTGTTGGAGCATTCACAACTTCTGAAGGCAAAGCTGTTCCACAGATTAATTGTTCTGACTGTCAGGAAATTCCTCCTTAGTTCTAGATTGCTTCTCTCCTTCATTCATGTCTGAAGAAGCTTCTTAGTTGAGAAGCAAAACATTTTCCAACCCCACCCCAACCCCCCCCCACCCCAAACAACCCAGGAAAGTCTGGTTGTCTTTTGGGGGGGAAAAGCCACCTTTGGGACAATCATGACTTGGATGATTGAGAATCTCCATAGACATTGGTTGTAATGGACATCTTAAAAAACAACAACAGGTCTACGCTAGGAGCTTTCTACCTATCCGCCACCATATCACCAACACCAAGTACTTCCTGCCACCCAAAACCCACCACCCAGACTTGGCAGGGTATGGCCAATCTGAAACAACATCCTTCAACTGCCACATCTGCAAGCCAAGGAGATGTTCCCTCTTTGGTAGCTGCTCCATTGTCTTCCCCATGTCCTATCTCCTGCTTTCCTCTTCCTCCAGAACAAGAGTAGAGTTGCTAACTGCTTGGCTATAGCAGCTGATGTGTCATGTCCCTGTTGGAATCTGATTCGGAGGGGCAGCCGACAGGGAGTGGGAGTGTGGCTCCGTTGGCTGTGGAAGAAACCAGGGAAGGGCAAAGTCCGTCTGGGCAGAGCAGGGGAGAGGTAGAACAAGGGAGAGGGAATTCGGAGGAAGACCCAGGCCCACCCACTCTTCATCCTAGGGCACGCAGGGAGGAACGGAGAAGGGATAACATGGGTTACGTGGCTTACGGGGGAGGAAAGGGCCCTGATTCCCTTCATTAGCTGCAGTTGGGAACACAGTGTTTTAAAGGGGACGTTGCACATAGCAAACTGTTGGGAGCAAATTATGAATTATCTGGTATTGTCGAGGCTTATCTGGGTTCCTAGCGTCTTCCCAACTATGTGTGTTTTGCTGCCCTTTCAAGCCTGCAATTCCTTCTCCTGCCCTGTCAAGTTAATTATTGCAGCATGGTTTGTGTGGATTTTTAGTCACAGTTTGTATGTACTTTGTTTTTGGACTGAATTTTCTCCACTTAAAGACCCTTCCTGGGAGAGTTTTTCTCCAGCCGAAGGTAACCTGGACATTGGGGGCAAAGTTGGAGGTTATAAAGGGACTCTTCTTGCTTATGTGACTGTCTTGCCTTTGTGCCATGCGCCTTTGGGTCATTGCATGATGCCTCTTATATCTTGACACTGCAACCAACAACAGACCGGGGGAGGGGGGGGGCTGCAATCTTTCCATTTTTGAAAATGTGTTCCAATGTTTACAACTTCCAACACGAGCCAACTACTAACGGTGTGGGGCTTGCTGTATCCTAGTTACCACAAAATGTTTCCTCCCAGAACTGCCTTCAATTGTATTTCTCTCTCTGGGTTCAGCAGAGCTAAATTCTTCAAGACAGAGTACAACACCCCTCCCGTTTTTAAATAAAGGTTTCAATTACAGCACAGAAAGTTTTAGGTTTTCATTTTAAAGCTTCCTTTTCTAAAAAAAAATAAAAACTGAACACTATGTGTACTTATCCTGGATGCAGAATAATGATGGACTGAATAAAAAACAAAATTGATTGACCAAGGTTTATGGGTGTTAATTATTCTTCCAGAAGAACACACTGTTCTTTCCCCTTCAACTGTATTTCAGAGAGATAGAATAAATGCTTAGTTTTCTTTCTACTAATACACAAACATATATTTTCTGGGCTGAGGATCTAACTCGGCCACCAAAACTCCAGAGGGAATCGCAAAATTCTAATCAAAACCAGAGGAGACTTTTTTCCAAATAAGGATTTTAGTGGTTAAGCAAGAAAAACATTCGCTAATCCACCCCCAACTTCTGGCAGGCAATCTTCTCAGTAGTATAATATTTGCTTTGGTGCCCAATGGCTACCCCTGCTTTGAACTGATAAACCCCACTTGGAGGTCTCAGAAAAAAAGACTTGAATGCAGGTACCACCACTAAGGACGGGAAGAAACATAGTAAGGTAGTCCTTGTCTTATGACCACAATCGAGCTCAACGTTTCTGATGCTAAGTGAAATGACTTTTAAGTTAGCTTTGCCCCATTTTACGACTTTCCTTGCCGCTGTTGTTAAGGGAGCCACTGTTAGTAACCTGGTTGTTGAGTAAATCTGGCTTTCTCATTGACCTTGCTTGTCAGAGGATCACCAAAGGGGATCATGTGATCCCGGGACCGTCATAAAGACGAGTCACGATAAACAGAAACACGATAGCTCATGCTCCGAAATGTATCAGAACAAACAACACTCACCAATTTGCATCACGTAAAAACAGTGTTTAAAGGTCGGTACTCGGACAGACGAGCCCAACTCAAAGCGGACGGGCGACGTCTCCTTGAATGGTGACGAAACGTTTGCAACCAAATCGCCAAGCTCGGAGCTCAAACCAACAGCCCCAAATCTGCCGTTTTTAAGTTGCCCATTGCACTAGAGTTTTCTTAGCTCTGAAGTCACTCTCTGGCTGAGACCTTCTTAGCCACTGTGAAAATAAATAGATTTTTATCTGTCGATCCTTCCTCTGCTTTTGAGTCAAAACAGGGAGCTCACAAAAGTGCAGGACTTGAGCCAAGCTGCCACAAACACTGGGACACAGTCCCTAGTTTATCACTACCTCTATCTAAACAGCCACAACTCTTCTCTTTCCTCCGTACAAAGTGCCATTTGGACCGCACGCTCTATCACAACAATTTACCTTATACGGAGGGCAATCTGGACATACTAAATCCTCGGAGGGCTAAATAACAACTCTAAGCTTAACTCAAAGGCGAAAGAATTTTATTCCAGTTTGTTTTGATCTCTGCTTGGAACCCGTTGCCAAAAGGGAATTCTTAACCGGTTTCCTAATCTCACTTCCTCTTATGCTGAACATTTATACTTGGGCCATCCAAAGCTACTCACTCTTAACTCACAAATGAAGTCCCATTGCTGGTATAGAATTTCACTAAATTGCTTTTTCACACTCAATATTTAGACTGCAGACCGCGGGTAGCATCACAGGAGTTCGAGCCATCTAGGATAATCCATGGTTTAATTCAAGAAACCAGTTTTACGTTTCCAACAACCGATTGTCGTACTGGACTTCAACATGACACAGCTCTTAGGCCATTTCCCGTGACAATTGGTTCCCTTGTCAAACTGCACTTTTCATCAGAACCCTCAAATGTTTGACGAGTGCTATGACAGCTCCTTCTCTGAAAAGTAGAATGTACATTTATCATCGGGCTCAGCAAGCACAATTTCTTGGCTGTGTTTTAAGTTAGACAGAAGTGCAGTTCCTGTAGCTAATGAGAACCAAATTTAGGACATACTCAGTTTGTTGTTCCCAACTGTTCAGTCAATTAAGTCCTCAGGAGGAATGGTAGTGACTGAGAAGGATAACAATCACTCCATATCCTCCTTGATTAGCAACTAATCCAGGAGAGAAGCAATTTAGAATTAAGAAGGAATTTCCTGACAGTTAGAACAATTAATCAGTGGAACAACTGGCCTTCAGAAGTTGTGAATGCTCCATCACTGGAGGTTTTTAAGAAGAGACTGGACAACCATTTGTCTGGAATATTATATGGTTTCCTTCCTGAGCAGAGAGCTGGATTAGAAGACCTCCAAGGTCCCTTCCAACTCCGTTATTCCAATTTTCTAATTTACTTAATTTTCAAATGTCTTGTTGGTACGATTACAAAGGGCTTGGGTGTCCAGGCAAACAATATGAAATGCAGACTATGGGGGTTGAAGATGCAGAACTTGCAAGATCAGTAGCTTAACTTGGGGTCAAAAAATCAGGAAGTCTACCACAAAGAAGAGGGGGTCAACTTGTTCTCCAAAGTACCTGAAGGCAGGGCAAGAAGCAACGGATGGAAACTCATCAAAGAGAGAAGCAACCAGTCAGGATCGAACTGCTGCCGGTCGGCAGAATTAGCCTGCAATTCTAACCTCTGTGGCCACCTGGGCTCTATCTAAGTATGATTACAGTCAGTTCCTGGGCATTTTTGTTGAAGTTGAAGAACCAACCAAACCAACCAACCAAGTTGAAGTTGAAGAACCAACCAAACCAACCCACCAAGTTGAA